AATCATCTCCCCCCATCAGCTCCCCCCCGGCCCCCCTCCCAGCAGCTTCTCCTCACCTCCCCTGCACTTAGCGTGGCCGACTTCCTGTCAGTCCGACCGGGTCGCGGACCGGGTAGGAGCTCGGCCACGCTACAGGGCAGGGGAGGTGAGGCACTGCGGCAGCCGCCTGAGCGCTCTCTATAGAACGCTCAGGCGACTGCAGAATTTAAAGGGCCGGCGATGGGGGCGCCCCCTCCTATATGGCGCCCTAGGCGGCTGCCTAGTTCGCCTTATAGGAAGCGCCGGCCCTGAATCCACATTTACAGACTACAGAGAGATTGGTAGTTTTGTAACCTGACACATGTTTTTGTGCCACCTCTTTCTAAAATAATATTTTAAGAATAGTACATCTCCCAAGTGTCCTTTTTGGGAAGGACATCCCATATTTTGGGACCAAATCCCTCTGTCCCTCTTTTCTCTCCTGATGTAATTAATTTCTAGGAGAGTCATATTGATGGTGTGTCTGAGTGTATCACAGAACTCCATAACAATAACACTCACAGTAATCTATATTTAAACTATAATAAATGTGTTTAGGAATAAGTTTGTTCTAAAATTTCTGTTGCATATATTGTTATTAGTAAGTCATGAAACATTTCTCAGGAGAGCCCCGCTCCTCTCCCCACTTAAACCATTATAACTAAAATTTCCCCCTTGTCCATTTGAAATGTTGGGAGGTACTGAATGTGTATGTACAACTCATTACTTTAAAAACATATGAAATTCTATGCAAACCTACCGTTGTTATGATCGCCTGCTGGAGTTACAAGAAGGAGAACTTTATTCAGCAGAGTTTGTCCCCCAGATTCCTCACACTGGTACAACCCATTATCCCACAGCTCAAGTTCCCTTAACTTCATTATCATTATCCGAGAATTTGGGTTATTAGAAATCACAGGTCGTTTCTGATAGTCACGATTTATATTTCCATCTGAATGAACCACCCAGTCACACGTCTTTCCAACCTGCTTGCACCAGATTTTGGACCATCTCTGTTGTTCACTATATGGACAATGCAGCTCCACGGAATCTCCTGCACTTGCTTTGATAACTTTCAAATTGGATGGTATCTCTACATACACAAATATAAGGACAGTTTGGTCAACCACAAATATACACTTATTCAGGCTATATAAAATGGAAATATTTAATACATTGTTTCTAATACCATTTTTGCAAAGACCCCTTGCACTTCAGTGAGACGATAGACTCCATAAAATAGTCAATATGAGTGTTTCATGCAGTGAAGATTATAGAGGGGAATGTAAGGGGTAGTGGGGGGGGGAGGGGGGTGATAGTGCCACTATGATACATTATGTATTCGTGCCTGTAGTAGGCGCCTGTTATTACCTGCATGACAGAGATGTGACCATTCACTTTGCATTGAAGAAGAAAATATGAGCATCAAGCACCAAATGATACAACACAAAATTTGAGATAATGCACAAAGTATATAGTGTATTAATATAACATAGCCACTATTGGTATAGTCCAAAAGTGAACCTATAAATCAGAAAATAAGACCAAAATACAGATACTACAGCTCAATATCCTGTCCACCAAGGAGAAAGTGCATAGGAGAATATGAAGTGCTAAGTGTCAAACCACCATAATACCTGTACACATAATATAAAGTGCATCAACAAATACATATACAATATAAAATACTGCCTGTCAGTTTCCTTATGCACTGAGATAAATGTTGTAATATTCTGAGGGCACAAAGAAATAAAAAATCTATCAAGCAAAGTTCCTGGAATACTCACTTATAGTCCTGCAACCTGTCCAAATCACACATATACTCCAACAAATCTAAAAATGCAAAAATACAAAGAAAAAGCTACAAAAATACAAAAAAAGTGGAAAAAAAGGGGGAAAAATTGAAAAATGCCGTTGTAAAATATTGCATATTCTATGTTTCTATTGACTATATATATGGATGTGTGGATTGACATAAGTAACAGATGGTATCAATAAGTCACAAGGCTTTCTTTGTCCGAGAGCTCTGGAATGTGGATTTGGGGGTCTTGTCCTTATATGGCTAGAGTTAAACGCTGACGTTAGTATGAGCACATCTATATAGTAACAGAGGGGCACGAAGTCGCTCTCTCTCTTGGCTCTTGGCTCTTGGCTCTCTCTTGGCTTGCTCTCTCTCGATGTAAAGATGTAAGGATGTAAAGAAGTCCAGCAATTACCATCTGCTGTTGAATGTTCATTATCCTGTAACATCATTTGTTGTTTTATTATATATCCGTAACTAAGAATAAACCTGAAGAAACCATACGTCAGATTGCGTATTAGTACTTTTCAATAATATAGACATATATTATTGTGGCGAGCATCTGGCCCAAGACTATATATACAAAAGACGTATATATACATCAATCAACTGAAGACGAAGAAATTAAGAAGATTTAACAGTGACGATCGTCCCAACAAGATTTTACATTGGCCAGCCAGCCAGTCTTCTATTCAAGTTTTGTTCCCACTTCAAGGAGGGAGAGAGAAGAATCAAGTTACAAAGCTATTTTGGAACTGGGAAAACAAACTTGAAGAGAAAAAAAGAATCTAGAGTGACTGTCATAGAAGAACTGTGGTTTGTATGAAAAATAAAGTTTTCAAATCACAAAGACTGTACAAGGTTATTTTCTACAACTTGAGACAAAAAGCACAAGATACAACGTGAATTCTAGAAGCAAGCACGTGGCAGAGATTGGCAATCATCCAGAATCAAGCCCAGAACTGCACAGCTGTGTGGATGAAGCAACGAAATAGACAGAGATAACTGATCTGGTAAAGCGTGACAGATCCATGTGGCAATAAATCAGGAAAGCATTCCTTCAGACAACTGGACATCGACTGTTGGAAAGAGACTTTTCATCTGATCTGCAAACTGTGATGGAAGATTCTACAGAGATCATTTGATACAGAAGATTAACAGACTTACAAAGAAATAAAAGATTGACACTAACATGAATAATAATTCATAAATATTAATGAAGAAGAAAACAGACAATGAAAAGTTATTTAACAGTTATGAGTGTATTAATACCAAAAGAGTATTTATAAATGTGTAACACATAAAGTAAAATTATGAAAGGATAGTATTATGAAGAGAACTATTACATTATGACCTATACATAGGATGAGAAGTATCAGAGGTAGATAAAATATGAAGTTGATAAAATAAGGATCATGGTTACTTAATACTACAAAGATTGAGTTCAATAGTATTTCATAGATTTACTAGAATAAGTAATTTGTTTATATCGAGGTGAAGTAAAACAAACAATGGTAACATAAGGAAGAAAACTAAAAAAGGATAATTTATATTGATTAATATTAAGTAATGGTATACATTAAGAATGCCTTGGATATAAGAGTTCAGAGATCCAAGAGGAATTGAATTGAAGTTTAGTTAAGAGTATAGTACACAATTATATTTGACCTAAGTCTATAAAGGTGTGGACTATAGAGAATAGGTTTCTGGATATGAAAGTATCCAATGAATTGAATACGTTGTTAAGTTGTTTTATGATTTCCCTGAGTTTGTTAGACACAGACTAGGAAAAAGAGTTTCTGGGCAGTATGACCCCAAGTTTTTTTTGTTTTATTTTTTTTTAGTCAGTTGAAGTGTACTAAGGAATACGGATTGGTCAGAACATTAGGACAATCCTGCTTTTAAGATGTATTACATTAACAAGTCAACACAATGCTAATGAAGAGAGTGATGATAATGAATTTAAATTATTCTTTCCAAGCTCCTTTAAAGTAAACCTTTCTCCGATTGAATGTAAAGTTTGTTACTACAAAGTGGAATTTTAGTCAAAATTATAATTATATAAACAAAAACAAATCTATGATAGAAAGTTTTTTGGGTGGAGATTTTCTAGAACAATAAGTATTGTCAACACCATGAACATTATTTGAGAAATTATTCTAGAACTCCATGGTTGAAAACAACACAACCTTTGAATGAGTCTTATAAGTAGTGTTGATATATTTCAGGTAGTTAGAGCCTACTGAATATTCAAAGTGAATACTATGATTGTAAAGTACTGATACAATCATCACAAGATGGTATTAATGGTATAGCAATGTAATTCATCAATACAAATAACCTAAAGATTTTAAGTTACTAGAAAACATATGATTCATGGAAATGTAATAGGATATTGTAGTAATACATGTATTAGTACTTAAGTAATATCAGGTATTGAGAATGAAAATACTTTGTTATATGTATCTGTAGGAGTATGATAGGGATACACAGTTATTATTTGGAAAGTTACGATCTTGATTT